TAGAACGTCCAGCAAGCGTCGTCTCGGTTGCCCAGCGGGTAGATGGCCTTGTCCTGAAAGCTAACCATGCTGAACTTGCTGCCGGGATGACTCTCAGATAGCCCGTCTATCATCTGGTGGAGTTGTACGTTCTTCATCTGCTCAATGTTGTCAGAGAAGGAGTCAGTAAGATCCTGCAATATAACAATCTCCAGAGGGAAGTTGCACACCTCCGCCTGACGGGTCTGGAAGTACCTTTCTCCGTACACAACGCTTGGCTTCACGTCCTTGGTCAAAGCACTCGTGTTCGTTCTATCAGCCCACCTCTGAGCATCATCCACGGGCTTCAAATCAGGCAACACCTGAGGAAGACCCAGTCCAGTCTCACCACCACGCTGGCTGATCTCCTCACTAAACACTCCTCCGATCAAACAAAGAAATCTCATGCTCATCATCTGTACACACAACTACTACACTAACTTATGTATTAAATATATTCTTTCCACACCGTCGGGAGACTGTCGCTATGTACTCTCGAACCACATGAGTCTGCGAGGGACAGAACAGAGTGGCAGTGACCGGCGGTATCATCTTTTCATTGCTGGAAAGCGGAGTTAACAAGTAGAACCAGGCGCTGAGGGCGTACCTGACGAAATGTGATCGCCGTGGTAGGGAGGTTTTACAAACCGAACGAAGATGCTGAGCAAGCAGGGTCGCGCCAGTATGAGCTAACCCGTCGGAGCTGTACGTCCAAGGTAGAGGGTCTGACGTTTGATCCGAGGTCGGATTCTTTGAACAAGTCTTTATTGATGACATTGCTTTGAGAATGGATCCGGAATGACCGCGCGTAGACCTGCTGGTAGAAGTGTTGAGTGGGACTGCGTCCTCTGTGTGGGATGAACACATCAGGAAGGTCAAACGAGGTAACCCAGATGACCTAGAACGACTTGTTGACAGGCTGGTCGCACGAAACAACAGTTTTGGTCGGCGACGAGAGGTGTGGGCGGTGGGGGAAGAGTTGGGTAGGTTACAGTGGCCGTGTGGCCCGCATACCTTGTATGAAGAGCTGGACTGCCTTTTGCAGAGTATTCGGAGGATGTGCGCGGGTTGGACGGATGGGTGTGTATTGTCGTTGATGGAGAGCAAGTTGATGACTTCACGCACCTTGAGGATCTATCGCTTAGAAGCGGTGACGGAGATTAGTCAGCTGGAAGAGAAGAAATCGGCAATGGAAGCTGGAGAGCTGAAAGAAACTACCCGGGTGACCAAGTTTGCAGACGCGTTAGGAGCAGACGCGTTAGGAGCGAGACTCATGAAGGGAGTAATGCTGAAACGAAGTGGTAGTGGAAGCGCTCTTAGACACGGGCGCAACCGCGTCTATCGTGGGTACTGTTGCAAAGTAATGGGGTGTCACTGGTGGAGAAGGAGTAGTCAGACGAGAACTGTTAGCGTGTGCAAAGCAGCCAGTAAAGTAGATGACGTCCCATCTAGACGTTGCCGTCAGAGAGAGGCATTGGGACTTATTGCGGAAACACTCGAAGTGGCAGTTGAAACCAAGGTCTGGCATAACACGACAGAGAGTTCGAGGTGCATGGGAAGTCAGTGAAGCACAAGTGAGGCCGTTACGACCAGAATTGAGAGAGGAACTGGATAAACGGATAGAAGACATGTTGAGCATGAGCGTAACCTAGTAATTTGTTGTGGGGAGCGCGGCCGGTGTTTGTACGCAAGAAAACGGGTGAGTGGAGAATCTGTGTTGACTGCCGAACGTTGAACAAAGGGATGACCTTCAAGGCCTACCCGATACCATTGCTTTTGAAGCAACTACCGCTGACGGCCGTAACAAGTATTACGTGTGTCTAGACTGTAATCATGCCTTTTGGAATGCACCCCTGGGGGCAGAAGATCGACAGTTTACTGCGTTTGCGCCGCATAGGGGCACATTCGAATACACTGTGATTCCGTTTGGTGTTAAGAACTCACCTATCCTGTTTCAGCAGGTGATGGATCGTGTCTTTGAAGCAACGTACACGTGCACGTTGACGTATGCGCTAATGATTTGAATACGTTGTTTGAGGGTCTGGACGAGGTGCTCCGGAGATGCTGCGAGGAAGATTTGTATTCATGCTGAAGTAGGGCGAATACGTGTAACAAAGCTCTTGGAGTTCATTGTGAGCGAGGAAGGCGTGATCCGAGGACGGCAGTAGACCTGATGAAAATGCAAGCCCCATGCAACGTAAGGGAGCTGAGGTTGTTCTTAGCTGAGGTTGTTCTTAGGGAGCTGAGGTATGACCACTTACTCATTCCAGACCGACTCAGCCTTCTTCCTGAGCAGCGGGAACAGGAATTTCAGAAGGTCAGCGGCAGAGTGTGTGTTGCTGGCTGCGCCAGCGGATGTTGGAGAGTTCGTACTAACGCCAGTGATCGAGCAGTTAGTGCTGTGCTGGAGCAGAGGCAAACGCGGGGTGGTTTCCTATCGAATTTGATAGCACAAAACCGGACGAACAGCGGTGGGAAACGCGAGAAAGGGAGTTGTACGCCATCAGGTTCTTGGTAGAGAGACGGCAGGACTACTTTTGTGCAGGCCGTTTACCATCAGGACTGACCATCAGAACCTTTGGCCAACTCTACTGACGGAAAGCTAGGCGTTGTTCCTCGAACAGTTTGGTTTTGGGGTGGAGTGCCGACAGGGTGCCGAGCACGTGGCTGGTTGTCTAGAGCGAACCTACAGGACGACGTTGGGGAGGACACGTTGGCAGATTTCGGGATAGACCCTGAGTTAAGAACTGGGTGCTGTGGAGAGAAAGGACTAGACGTGGCAGTGCCTCTGATTGAAAGGTTGAAGAGGTTCGCCGAAAAAGACGAACGTGTGCAGAGGCGCATCCATAAACGAAGGGGCTGTGGGCGAGGAGCGACACTGGTAGTGTTTATATGCTGTTGGAGTGTCGAAGAGACCTGATGACCTGCCATCACTCTGGACGAGTTAAAGTCAGACACTGTTGGTGTTGACGAGTCTAGTCACCAAGGGTGGTCGAAGACTTTATACGGAGCGGACGTACAGAGTGGTTCGGAGTTACGGTAGGCGTTGAGTTCTGCTGTGCTTGCGCACAACAACATCCCACACCCAGCAAGAGGACCAGCACGAGTAATGGTGTTGCTAGGAACTGACGTGAGGCACTCAAATGAGTTGCTTTTGATGCGGCCAGAGGCTGTAGGACTAGAGAGTCTTCTAGAGTTGTTGCGTTTCTGCTGAAATGGGTATGACAAGCGGGAAAGAGCTTGGTGGTGAGGAAGGTGGGCACGACACCGCGGTTAGTGGTGTGGCGCTTATGCAGGTTACATAAGCGGTCGCCACGTAGACTCATTTGGAACCCAACTCAGTTGCACGCAGCACGTGCAACCTGTTGGGTTCCAACGTGCGGTGAATGTCGTCAGGGTGTCTGCCGCGGAGGCGAGGCATTCGACGGGGTGGCGCAGCCCCAGAGGATCCCATTACCGCACCTCTAACCTCCTTGAGGACCGCAAATTAAGTGGTGAGTTCTTGTGGAATCTTTCGGAAACGAAAGCGCATCGAGACAACAAACTTAGCGAGACAACAACGAGGGCGCCTGAGTTTTCAGTTCTGTTTTTAGTCAAGAAAGGCTGTGGTCTGCCGCAGGCAAGTATCGGTCCTTGTCGTGTGCGTGTTATGTCCACACGCGCCGGAGTTTTTTTGGGGGATAAAACAGGGAGGAAAAGCGAAAGGAGTCCGCACATCCTTCAACGCACCTTGAGACGAAAACGGGCAGATAGACATAACGCTACCGGTCCGGCTGGGTTTTTGGGAGAAGACATATATATCACCGAACGATCCACCAATACGTATAATGAGTGTCCGAGGGAACGGGGGAGAGTTTGACAGCGAGAAGAGGCAAGTGACGGTAGGTCAGCGGGTTGACCAGGTTGAGTCTACACACACATGCCCGGTCCCGAACCACCAGCTACTCAGTTCAGAACTGGCAGTATCGGCAGGGACCGACGGTGTAATAGACCCAGGCCTACAGTTTGAGTGTCGCCCGTGGAGTGTCGCCCGCGTTTCGTTGGACGAAACGGGTTAACAGGAACCCATGAGGAATACGTAAGTTGGTGCAAGAAATGTCAAAACGTGAGTGTACCCCCCTTCGAGGCACAGACAGTGGCTGAATTTGAAGACTGGACAGACGCAGTTTCCAGGGCCTACTACAAGTATGCAACAGTCGATGAGGTATCACTTATCAGGTTCTTGGCGGACCGTATCGTGCCTGCAACGGCGGATCTGCGCTACGCTACTCTCTCTGAGGCAGGTCGTCGTAATGTGGAAACGTATTTCTCGGAAGTCGCACCCAAGGTATACGACGACTGCAGCCTATACGTGCACGCTTGGTACAAGCAAGTGCACGCATTCAAGACTGAAGACCTGGCGAAGCTCAATAACGTGAAACGGAGAAACTCAGTCGTTACGCGAGATTGGCAAGCAGGTGGAGTTGTGAGGCAAGAGTAGATAAAGGGCAGATGGTCTATGAGTTACTATTATTGCTTCCCGCGGAAGCACGTATGGATGCTCACGATAAGTCGAGGGAGGTGTCCTTTGTGGCTTGGGCGACATGGCTTCAGAGGAAGTATGGCAGAGCGACGGTGCCGATCTACAGTACGACGATGATGGATCGGGGTATGGAAGACACGAGGGCTAGACAGTATCGAGTGCTGTTCAAGTCATGTCCGTCGTGCGGCGTCGAGCACTTGCGCAAGGATTGTCCGTACAGGGGCGTATAATGTAGGAAGTGTGGGGTGAAAGGTCATTTAGCGGTTGTGTGCTAGGCAATACTGATTAGGGATGGATATGGCGTAGGGGACGCAGGCTACTTCCGGACGAATCCTAAAGGCGGATACGCTTTGGATGTTGCACCGAAGCACAGAGCGCAGAAATACGCAG